TATACTCTGTTTTTAAACCAGGAGGAGTAAACGCGAAAGTCAGATTTACACTAGGAAAAATCACCAGAAAATATCACTAGATATTTTGGCGGTAAATTTAAATTAATAATTATTATTTATTTATTTACTTATTATTGTATTTATTTTCGTTTGTTATCGTCAACACTATACATACAAATTAACATTGAAGTTATGAGTGTATTTATTTCAAAATATAATAAAAAAGGGTTTAAGAACACAAAATATACAATAATGACACGAAACTGTCGAATTATCAATTACCTAACCTTCAAAGTCAAAATTGCCTGTGTGTGAACCTTCCTCGCATTCAACCAATCACGTGCAAGGTCAATCTGGTGACAAATTTAAAATACTCCTCCTGGTTTAAAAACAGAGTATAGTACAGTTAATATTAATATTGGTTACATAAGAAAATTATGTTAAAGTTTTATGATGTCATCATTTAAGATAGCAAAATAGCAGTAGCTATGCGTAACCATGGCAACCAACTGTTTGAGATATCAAAAATTAATCATTGTCTAAGGGCCGGTTAGACAATATGCCGCTAAGGTCCATTACTACCGTCTTTTAGTTAAATTTATCTTATAGATAAATCCTTCTACTAGCCAATCAGAGCGCGTAAAATAGTCGTAACCGTGGTAATAATCCCTTAGATAGCTTAACCAGAAGATGGTAGTAACGAGCCTTAATCTACCTGATAACTATCTGGCCGATAAACTTATCGGGAGGATAAAGATATTCGCTGTTGTATAATCAGTTTTTGTGGGTAGGATTGCTATCGGCGAAATAAGAGTAAGTTGGTAGTAGTTTTTCCCCATATCTAGTGATTTGTGTCGTTGATTGATAACGCTAATGTCTTTCTTTGAAGTTTTAATTGCGATTTTGATAATAACAATTGTTTAAAAAAATGTTTCACGACAGACTACATACAAAGTTTTTATATAAAAACCTTGATAACCATAAATATCTGTCGGATAACTGTCTTATCGGCACCGTTGAGTACCCGATAATCTCACCAATAAAAATATCCGTACCTTGTAATGCAGCACAACCTAACTTATCGCCCAGATAACGTTGTTTGGAAGTTTATTGGTATATTGTACAACCGGTCCTTAATAAAATATCTAATACAACTGGTTGCCATGGTTACGCATGGCTACTGCTATTTTTCTACCTCAAACAACTATAGTCTGTTTTCAAACCAGGAGGAGCATTTTAAATTTCTCACCAGATTGACTTTGCACGTGATTGATTGTGAATTTGACGGTTAGGTTATTGATCATTCGACAGTTTCATTTTATTTTATTTTATTTACTTTTGTAAAATTATGTGTTAAAATAAAATACACTCATAACTTCACTGTTAATTTGTATGTTTTGTGTTGACGATAACAAACGAAAATAATTACACTAATAAGTAATAAAATAAATAATAATAATTATTAATTTAAATTTACCGCTAAAATATCTAGTGATATTTTCTGGTGATATTTCCTAGTGTAAATCTAACTTTCGGATTCACTCCTCCTGGTTTAAAAACAGACTATAGATGAATGGCTTATAGGTTATGTTATCATTCATTTATAACCACTTAAAAATGCCTGAAATTCGTAGTTAACATTTATATTGAGCAATAAAGATGTAAATAAATGATAAAACTTACCCGAAGGATGATTTAAATAAATATAAAATATCACAAACACTTTTTATACATAAATTAATTTCATTAAATTGACAACTGTCATTTAATTGAAATCCTTCAAAATTAATACCAACCCCAAAAAAATCAAATTTACTAAACGCAAATGAATTTATAAAATAAACTAGATGAATGGTTTATAGGTTATGTTATCATTCATTTATAACCACTTAAAAATGCATCAAATTCGTAGTTAACATTTATATTGAGTAATAACGGTATAAATAATTGATAAAACTTACCCCAAGGATGATTTAAATAAATATAAAGAATCATAATTACTTTTTATACAAAAACACATTTCGTTAAATTGACAACTGTCACTTAATTGACATCCTTCAAAATTAATACCAACCTCAAAAAAATCAAATTTACTAAACGCAAATGAATTTATAAAATAAACTATAGAATGTTTCGGGTTAAACTCGAACGTTTCTACATAGGTCTAGTGTTAATTCCACTATTAATTCCATAAAAATATCCAACAATCTAGGGCTGTATAGACAAGTCGGGGGATTCCCCTAGTTTATGAACATGGAAGTTGGGGAATAATCCGACTTAGACTTTAACATTTATATTTAAATATACTAATGTATTAAATTGAATTTAATTAATGGTATGACTTAATACTTTATATTACTTATACTTTGTTATATTGAAATTTTTTACTGTATTCTTTTTAATTAATTCCTTTTTTTGCGGATAAATATCATAGAAAAGCCGAGTTCAAAGGCCCCCAAAACGCCGGCCCTTACTCCTTTGCACTCGGTGTTCTTAGAACGAAAAAGGTCAACCTAGAAATTAGATTACATCTGGCAGTCCTTTGAAGAACAGTGCTTCAACACACACAAACGACCTCGGACCTGATCGATAACAGCCTCCCTCGCGAAATAATTAGGGGAACAAAGCCGAAACTGACCGAATTACGAAAAGCGCGCGTTCGAGGTTTTTTTTCTCCGAAAGAGGATTACCAACTCACGTTAATCTTACTAATTTGCCTAATTCCCCTCTACTTGAGCTTCTTATAGGTACTTAGATCGACCGAGAAAACGAGCCGAAGAAAAAGAAACAATCCTTAAAACGCCATCATCATCCTCATTTTTTTTTGTTTTAATAAATCTAAAATCGATTTAAATTTTTTTAGCTACTATTGGAACATTTGGAATGTCTCGTTTCGCGACACGAACGTTCGCTGCGGATGACCGTAGTGAAAAGGCAAGCGGCCGCACAATCGGGCGTCTCCAGCGAGGTCGAGGTCCTGAAGGCGCTCAAGAGCCTTTTTGAACATCACAAGGCCCTCGACGAAAAGGTTCGGGAACGACTTCGTGTCGCGTTGGAAAGAAATTCAGTTTTAGAAGAGGAGTTGGCTACTATCAAAGATGAGGTAAATTTTTTATTTATACTGGTTAATAAAAAAAGTTTTTATAAAAGTTATTAAGGTATTAACAATTTCAAATCCCACAGTTATTTCTTTATTTAATATTTACGTCTATGAAGTGACGGAATACATAACGACATTGTATTATAAATATGTTTGATTTGCAACGATTGACGTTTGATGACGGACCTTTACCCGGATCCGTTTGATGACTGACCTCCACTTCGACCCGTTTGATGCTGGTCTGGGTGGATGAAACGTTTGTGTCCAACCACTTGGGAATAAAATTAATAAATAATTTACCTTCAACGGACACGGTTATTTATTGGTTGTTGAGGTTTGTAGAATTAGATTCAGTTTGAGTACAAGGGAATAAAATACAATTACGATACAAAAAAATGAAGTAGATTTGGTGTAATTTACAAAAAAATAGATGTGTAAACCACGGTTATTATGTAACCATATAATTTGTTTATTTTCAACCAAAAATATGCGTTTTGTATGAACTGAACCTAATTCACGATTTACAGGCTACTTTTTTACGCGTTTTCACCATTACATAGCCTTTAAAATAGCAGTCAAAAAGATAAAGTAATGCACATTATGGCTACATTCATTTAGTTCTTTATTAGTTGCATTAATTTCGTAATACTGGTATTAAACATAAAACATTATCCATTTTAAAAACAACACAAACTTTTTAATATTGTATATAACTCGGCTGTAAGCGGCCTCGGCTTAACAAACTTACAGAATTCATTCTTTCTCATTAACTTTGCCGAGGTCGCTTGCGGCCGAGGCACAAGCGCTACCCAACTTTGATTTGATATAAGTCTTTTGTGGCGTCTTGGCCTCGATTTAACGAAGTTACATAGTTCATTCTCGGTTAATAACTTTGCCGAGGTCGCTTACGGCCGAGGCACAAGCGCTACCCAACTTTGATTTGATATAAGTCTTTTGTGGCGTCTTGGCCTCGATTTAACGAAGTTACATAGTTCATTCTTGGTCATTAACTTTGCCGAGGTCGCTTGCGGCCGAGGCACAAGCGCTGCCCAACTTTTTATTGGTATGAAGTCTTTTGTGGCCTCTTGGCCTTAACCTATCGAACTCACATAGTTTATTCTTGGTTATTAACTTTGCCGAGGTCGCTTGCGGCCGAGGCACAAGCGCTACCCAACTTTGATTTGATATAAGTCTTTTGTGGCGTCTTGGCCTCGATTTAACGAAGTTACATAGTTCATTCTCGGTTAATAACTTTGCCGAGGTCGCTTGCGGCCGAGGCACAAGCGCTGTCAAACTTTGTATTGATATAACGTCTTTTCTGGCGTCTCGGCCTCGATTTAGCGAAGTTACATAGTTCATTCTTAGTCATTAACTTTGCCGAGGTCGCTTGCGGCCGAGGCACAGGCGCTTTCCAACTTTGTATTGATATAAAGTCTTTTCTGGCGTGTCGGCCTCGATTTAACGAAGTTACATAGTTCATTCTTGGTCAATAACTCTGTCGAGGTCGCTTGCTGCCGAGGCATAAGCGCTGCCCAACTTTGTATTGGTATGAAGTCTTTTGTGGCCTCTCGGCCTTAACCTAACGAACTCACATAGTTTAATCTTGGTTACTAACTTTGCCGATGTCGCTTGCATCCGAGGCACATCTGTTTCTTAACTTTGTATTGGTATGAAGTCTGTTATGGCGTCTTGGACTCCATTTAATGAAGTTACATAGTTCAGTCTTGTTTATTAGCTTTGCCGAGGTCGCTTTCGGCCGAGGTACAGTCGTGATCTTGGGAAATGCACACTCAAGGTCAAGCGCTGTTGTGAGATCCGACATGCCGCTGGCTAAACCGGCTGAACCGAACGCACACGAAGCTCTTGACTCGTGGGCGCTCGGCTCAGCCCTTTTAGCCAGCGGCATGTCGGATCTCACAACAGCGCTTGACCTTGAGTGTGCATTTCCCAAGATCACGACTGTGCAAGCGCTGCACAACTTCGTATTGGTATGAAGTCTTTTGTGGTGTTTCGGCCTTAATCTAACGAAGTACCATAGTTTATTCTTGTTTGTTAACTTTGCCGAGGTCGCTTGCTGTCGAGGCACATGTGTTGCCTAATTTTGTATTGATGGAAAACTGTTATGGCGCCTCGGCCTCAACTTAATGAAGTTACATGATTCATTCTTTGTCATTAACTTTGCCTAACTATATTGTATACAGTGTGTCCCCGTAAGGTATAATTGACGAAAAATTTTTTAATTGAAATTCCATCTTTTGCAATTAAAGTCTGGATGTCATAAAACGAAATATAACCAAGTTTTACGTAAAATGTCCTCAAAATACGAAACTTAACGCAAGAGGTTTGTTAACCGTTGCAGGTGAAGGGTCTTTCTGAACAATGTACAACAAAAGTTGATTAAGATAAAATATTTGTTATGTTAAATTACAGCGATATGCCGAATTTTATTAATTCTTCTTTATAGCTGGTTATAGAAGTTGTGCACTTACTAGCATCTAGTACTAACTAAATAACACCAATTAATTGTAATTTTCATAAGAAAAACCATAAATAAGATGAATGTTTGTCTGAAGAAATTACGTTGTTTTAAACAGTATTAAAAAATTAATACTCTTGCTTCATAACAGTCAAAAATTATTAATAATCATCAACAATTATGAGGATTCACCATAAATGAAACTTACAAGTTCTCAGAGCCAACTTTTAGAATAATTTTAGCTAAACATGGCGGCACATAGCATAATAAGAAACTATTAACTTTAAGGAAAATACTAAAGAGATAAAAAAGTACCGCTAAAGAATGAGCTTTACAACCCATATTTTTTTTATGTTAATATTCCATAGCGTTAAAAGGTTCGTATAAAAAAAATCAAGGTGGTGGTGAATTTCATCCCCTTAGAGGAGGGCGCAAGGGAAGTTTCAAATTCAACGGTTTACTTACAACCGAAATACAAAACAAAATGTTAATTTTTGGCTTAAATTTTTTCTACCCTATGTTTATATAAAAAAAACTTGTGTTATTTTGGCACGTACTATCCACTAAAGTACTAAAGTTTCCCGATTAAAAACTAAACCACCCTGTATAGAATGTTGGGTTAAATCGTTATTTTTTAGTGTCTATTATTAATATTTAAAAATTTACAACTCATCTCGCTATTTATTGCTAATAAATCTTTATACAGGATGGAACAAAAGTATGGAATTTTGAAGATGTAAAATAGGTACAAAAGATGTTAATAAAATGGTTAAATAGCTAGTAAATATGCCATTTGTGATTTAAATGAAAAATATATCAATTAAAAGTATCCTGGTTAATTATGGTGCATATTCTGGCTATATTTGTTTGTTTGTATTGTTTTTAGTTTCGTTGCTATGGTAACCAACATTGTTATCTTAAATGAGACACATCAAGATAGATCATATTTCATTCTAATCGATAGGTATATCACATCATCAGGTTTTATAAGAAAATATTCTGAAAATATATAATCAACAAAGTAGGAACTGAAATGACGCCGTTTACACCAATAAACGTCAAAAACTTTGTGCACCCGGGTAAACATTATTAAAGAGTACACAAACTTCACTTTGAGTATGTTTTCTATCGCCGTACCCATACATCATTAAAATTTCAATTCGTTATTGTTCGCTTAATTGCGCCATAATTTAAGTAAATGGGATTTAAGATAATGTTGGTTACCATACCAACGAAACTAAGAACAATACAAATAAACAAATATAGCTAGAATATGCGCCATAATTAACCAGGAAACTTTTATTTGAAACATTTTTCATTTAAATCACAAATGGCGTATTTACTAGCTATATTTTTTATTTATTTGTATTGTTCTTAGTTTCGTTGCTATGGTAACCAACATTGTTATCTTAAATCATCCATACTTTTGTTCCATCCTGTATACGCGACATCATTGTGAACATAGTATTTGGAAATTAAACTACTTATACTACGATGATTGTTTATTTGTTAAAATGTCTTTACCGGTTTCGGCACATTGCCGTCTTCAGAAGACTTGTCAGGTTCTCTACAATGTCGAAAAATAATTTATTTCAAACATAGGTTGTGATTCTTGCGGATTATCAATTTATTGAAGAACAAGATTATCCCCAACGGACATTAATTGTTTCAATTAATGTCTGATTAATGTCTTCTTGTTTCATTAATTGTTTCTGACAAGTCTTCTGAAGACGGCAATGTGCCGAAACCGGTAAAGACATTTTAACAAATAAACAATCATCGTAGTATAAGTAGTTTAATTTCCAAATACTATAATCCAAACTGATGATATGGATGCTTCTACATTTAATATAATTCTGAACATAGTTTAAGATAGATAGTGGTGGAAGTGGACATAAAAAATTTATCTTGATGACTTTTACAGAAAATTTGTGGCTAGATTTGTATAATTATTGTTACTTAATTTCAGTTACAACAATATAAAATTGGAGGAGCACCTTCTAATAATGTACCTGCCATAGATGACAAACCAAAAGAGAATGGCCAAATTGATACTGGGGACCAAGGAAATAATTCCACGAATAAGGTAAAAAAAAATTGGTAACAAAAAAATATTGGGGGTGGTTAAAAAAAAAAACCCTCTAAAATATCAAAAAAAAATTTATCATTTTATCCCATTTTGTCACAAAGGAAATATAAATAAATTCGAAGCCGTAATCGAATCAAATCGCAATTTCCACCCCCAATATACCAGTACAATTCGATGTATTTTTAAAATAAACCATCCAATTTCCACGTCGGTTATAATTTCGTCGATCAATCACATCGAATAACCGCCACGAATTTACGGTCTAAATTCAAAATAAATGTGCATGATTAGAAATTGGAAAATTTAATGATACATTTTTTTCTGATTTCTATTTAAGTGTTTTTGATGTTGTCACGTGGCATGTTTGTGTGTGGTAAATAGGCTCCAGCGAAGCCTCGCCTGGCTAACGGTGGCATCGAAACCGACAATGCGGAGAGCGCTGCGAGGATCGCGGATCTTCAGCAAGCCCTCGAGCAGCAAGTGAGTCAAATTTTCAAAAGAAAATTCCACAAAAAGCTTTCTTTGTTAATCGTAACAAAAATTCCGTTATTAAACTTAATAAAAAATTGAAAAATTACTTGTTTTTTTTTTTAATTTCTTCTTTGTTAGACGAATGAGATTGGGACGTGGCAACGAAGAGTTGCCGAAATGACGAATCGCCTCGGGGAGTTGGAAGAGAATTTGGCGAAAGCGCAAAAGGACCTGTTAAAATCCCAGGACTCCAACTCGAAGCTTCAGAGGGATTTAAGGGAAAACGTTGCGCAAAAGGAGGACCAGGAGGAACGGATTGCAACCTTGGAGAAGAGATATTTGAACGCCCAGCGGGAGTCGACGTCACTTCACGATCTCAACGAGAAATTAGAACAAGAATTACAACACAAAGAAGCACAGATTAAGGTAAATTCTACTCAATTCTTGCTGTTTTTATTAAAAATTTTTTTTATTTAGTTACAAGATGAAAAGATTGCTGCAATTCAAGAAAAATTAGAACTCGCCGAACAAAAATTAGCGCAATATTCAAACCTTCCAGAAATGGAGGAACAACTCAAACAGCGTATGGAGGCTCTCACGCAGGTGAGGAACCAGGTACGAAGCTCAACGCTCACTTTTTATATACTCTATTTTTTTCCCCACCCTCACCAAATTTGTTTTTGTTTTTCTATTTCCAAAAAATTAGTGACACGTTCTCTTTGTAATAATTGTTTGTAAAACGTCCGTTTTCGCCCCTGCTAATTAAAAAAAAAAAAAAGCTTTAAATGTTAGCTGTAGCTGTTTTTTTCTAGTATAGAAAGTGAGCTGAGTTATCTGTCATTCTTCGTCTTTTTCTGCATGTTTCTCAATTAACCCATAAAAAAAATGATATTAAGAATACCGAAAGAAATTTCTTTTTTTACTCAAACCAAAAACTAGGCGCAAGAAAGACACGGTTCCGCTGAAGATCGCATCCAACGTCTCGAGGCGAATCTCGAAGAGAAAAACGCGGAGTTAGTTCGACTTAATCAACGGTTAAAAATGAACGAGGACCATAACAGTCGTTTATCGGCAACCGTCGATAAATTATTATCGGAATCGAACGATCGGCTCCAAGTGCATCTTAAAGAACGGATGCACGCGTTGGAAGAAAAGAATAGTCTCACTCAAGAATTGGAGAAGACCCGTAAAGTTATGGAGGATCTTGAAGGTCAAAAGGGCGAGATTATGAAGGAATTGGCGAAATCTCGGTTGGAAATTGATAACGTTAAGAGGCAAATGTTGCAACAAGAGATCGCTTTTAATATTCAACAAACGGACGCTTTAACTAGGAGTTTATCTCCGAATGCCGTGGACCCCAGCGGGTTTTCAAGAAGCGCTAGTCATTCGAGTTTTGATGCTCATTCGTTACCAAGAAGGAGTAATAAAAATAGGACACCTATTGATGATGATTGTAATAAGTTACCACCATTTACGAGGTAAGATTTAAAAAAAATTTAATATAGTAAAACTTCGATATATAAATACAGGGTGTCTCACGTAACTGTTTAGGTACCATTATTCGTACAGTTTTGAAATTTTGGTAGCTTGGGTTGGTTCTGAACTTTCGATCTAAAATATTTTCAAGATAGCTGCCACTTCCGGTCTACCGGAAGTAGACCATAACTTCGTTATTTTAAATGGAATGATATAGTTTTTATTACACCTTTTAATTATACGTGAAAAAATATATTTTCATAAAAGTTATTGGTACCTAGCATCTTTCGTTTTCGAGTTATTTTGATTTTAATTTTTTGTTTTGGAAAATTTCACCATGCTTTTTAAAACCCCATATCATCCCAGCCAACGTACATTCAAAAAAGCTCTAAATTGGCACGATTACTCTTCAGATGCTATCAAATAGATTGTCATTTATTGTAGCAGAGTATCTTATACAGGGAGGTCAAAAATTTTAGTTTACTAGCTTCAGAACTTCCAATCTAAAATATTTTCAAGATGGCCGTTACCTGCGGTCTACCGGAAGTAGCGACCAATAACTTTTATCAACCTAGCGTTTTTCGTTTTCCAGTTATTTTGGTTTTAAACATTTTTTGGTAAATTACAACATGTTCTTTACAACCCCATACTTCAGGCAACGTTCATTCAAAAAAGATCTACACTGGCACGATTACTCTTCAGATGCTGTCAAATGGATTGTCATTTATTGTATCAGAGTATCTTATACAGGGAGGTCAAAAATTTTAGTTTACTAGCTTTTACTTACCAAGGCTGAGAAATGGGGTTTTAAAGAGCGTGGTGAAATTTGCCAAAAAAAAAAAAACTTAAAACCATAATAACTCGAATACGAAAAACGCTACCAATAACTTTTATCAAAGTCAACATAGTTTTTCGCATATAATTAAAAGTTTTAATAAAAACTAAGTGTAAATAGCATTCCATTTAAAATAAAGAAAGAAAGTTTCGGACGATTAACCGCTACTAACTAAAATTTCAAAACACTGCGAATAGTGAAACCTAAAAAAGTTCTCTAAGGAACCAGTTACGTGAGACACCTGTATATATAAATAAGGCCAAATAAGCCAAAGTTCTGTATCTCGGAAACTACTCATTGTAGAGACTTCCGGTAAAAAATTTAATGACTAAAGTGACTAAGAGAAATTCCTGGAAATTATTTTCAGCTTTTTAGGATAATCACTAGGGGGCGCAACCGCCATCTTCAATAAAAAAAATGGTGTTTCTGGGAATTCCCCTGTATTAACATAACAAAAAGTTAAACACTTTTTGCCCTATCCGGTAATAGGTTTATTTTTTCAAGAAAATTCATAATATCTATTGCAATATCCAAAAATTCCCTCTAGTGGCGACGTACTAACTTACAATCACTACAAATAGGGTAGGGTTTGTATTCGAAGAAAAGCTCTATTCAACGATACAAACTTTATTAAAATCCGTTTAACTATTTTGCAATTATTGGCATTTATTTACAAACATTTTCGAACAACCACCCCAACTTTTTACTATTTTTAGAGATAGGACAAACAGCATATATTTTTTTGTAACGTTAATACAGTATATTTTAGTGTATATTTTTTGATTCAAGATGGCTGTTACTGCCTCTAGTGGTCATCCTAGAAACCTGAAAATAAATTCCAGGAATTTCTCTTAGCCGCTTTAGCCATTACATTTTTTACCGCAAGTCTCTACAAGGAGTAGCTTCCAAGATAGAATACTTTGCAAGCTCATTAGGCCTTTCTGTACAGGGTGATTCATAAGTAATGGGCCAAATTGTAAATGTACGTTCAGGAGGCCAAAATAATAATATTTTCATTAACAATAATGGGTCTTAGTCTGCTCCTTACTGAGATACAGGATGTTAAAGCGAAAAAAATAAAATAGATTTTTGTTAATAGATCAGCTACTTTTCTACATAATGGCTCATAGTTGACTTATAGTTTTTGTAAGGGTAAACAATAATGTGTGAGAGGATTTGAGTTAACTCGTAGATGTCGCCACATGCGCCATATGAATTAGATGAAATCAGCTACAAATTTTTTATCGCTCATGGCGCATGTGGCGACATCTACGAGTTAACTCAAATCCTCTCACACATTATTGTTTACCCTTACAAAAACTATAAGTCAACTATGAGTCATTATGTAGAAAAGTAGCTGATCTATTAACAAAAATCTATTTTATTTTTTTCGCTTTAACATCCTGTATCTCAGTAAGGAGCAGACTAAGACCCATTATTGTTAATGAAAATATTATTATTTTGGCCTCCTGAACGTACATTTACAATTTGGCCCATTACTTATGAATCACCCTGTATATACGTTACTGCAAAAGCCTGAATTACGGTAAATCTTAGGTTGGCTAAGAAAATATATCAATATTATTCTTATTATTTGGTATTTTAAACAAATTAAAAGAGGGCAAATAATAAATTGCCAGTTATTAATAATAAGAAAGAAACCATTTTGCTTGTTACAACACGGAGAGTTATTGTGGCATTTAAATTCTGATGACTTGCAAACGCATTTCTTTGATAAGCATTTTTTGAGGCAGTTATATTTTCTGAATCCTTGTGCTCCGGTCATTAATAATTTTCCGACAACGTCGCGAAGGCTCACTTCTTTATCTTTAACAACTTCTACTATCTTTAAAAGTCTTTGAGCATGATGTAAACTGATTCTTAGTATAAAGCTGCTTTAGTACTCCAATTTTGCATTTTTTCTTATTGCCAGGATATAGATTCTTTCTTTTTCGATATTACCTCTCCAGTCTATTTTTCGACATTTGCCGTGTCTCTGTGGTAAAACCTAAGATTTACTGAGTGGGTGGTGGTAAAAGTTCGAAATGAACGATGATCACAGAACATTTTGGACTTTCACCATTCAGAGTTGGTAAATGTGAGGTTTCACTGGAAAATCTTAATATTTACCGTAGTTCGGGCTTTTACAGTAACATATAATATGTATATTTAAATATAAATGTTAGAATCCAACTCGGGTTATTCCCCAAGTTGCTCTATTCCACATTCATAGATATACTTGCGGTATTCCCCGACTTGTCCATGCCATGTATAAACCAAGAAGGGTAATTTTAGTTTTAATTGTTATTCAGCGCTAGATTTTTATCGAACTAAAAGTAGAACTAACACTAGACCTAAAGCTAGAAACATTTATTAAAATTATTTCTTCAAACAGTTTAAAGTGCATATTAAAAATTTGTTATACAGGGTGTCTCACGTAACTGGTTCGTTCGAACTTTTTTTGGTTCCACTATTCGTTGAGATTTGAAAATTTGGTAGCATGAGTTGTTCATTCAGAACTTTCAATCTAAAATATTTTCAAGATGGCCGCTACCTCCGGTCTACCGGAAGTTTTTATGAGATCAAAATTACGTTAGCAACTAATCAATTATTTAGGCACTTTTTAACGGCAGTGGTTACAGGTGGGTTTTGAACACTGCAAGCAGATCGGCTGACTGCACATTGTGCACCCGTAATGGGTTCTACGTCGTTTTTGCTTGAAACACATGTAACAATTCTTCAAAATCTCAAACTTTAGGATTTCAGTGCTTTGTTGATTTGATTCAGTTGGCTTATCTTTCCCCAAAATACGTCCTATGAGACTCTTGAGCTCGTGAGAAAGTTGTGGTATTTCATATCGTCGCTCTAGGTGTGGAGTTACTAATCGTCTTCCTAGGTCTTTCATGAATTCCATACGTTTCGATTTGTCATAATTAGATATTATGAAAGAATTGGCAGCAGCTATATCTAAAATCCTGTAGAATATGACTAGTGGCCATCGTCTAGACACCTACTACAAGTGTATTTTGCACACTTTTCGTCTAGAGAATCCACACCCCCTTTTGTTGCGTTATAGAATGAAATTATTTCGGGGATCTTCTTCTTCTTTGGAACATAAGATAGCAGAGTAAGTTGTTTTGTAAAACCATACATAGTTGAATGAACTTGTCGTTTTTTATCAAGAAATTCGGGTGGTATTTCTCTTTTATTTTTTTTTAGGGTTCCAACGTAAGTCAAGCCTCTTTTTCTCAGTTCTATGCAGACTTCAATTGAGGAAAAGTAGTTATCTGCAGTGATATTTCGATTGGTTATCATTATCGGTTTTGCCAAACGCAAGACACACTGCGTTGGCACTAATAACTTCCTTTCTTCATGTGTTAGCCCGTTTCTGTCACTGTTCTTTCCTGTATATAGGTACGCATTGTATAAATAGCTAGTAGCACCATCAGTCAGACATTTTATTTCCAAGCCATACTTACACGGCTTGTTAGGCATGTATTTCTTCCATCTACATCTTCCTCTAAAAGATACTAGCATTTCGTCAATTGTTGTAGTTTCCCCAATTTTATAGTACTTTTGACAATTTCCTATAAATTCGCGAAATATGTCCGAAATAGCAGCAGCGACGTCAGTCCGTTTTCTTTGGTCTCTAGTAGACGCATCATCAAACCTCAGACATAGGAGAATCATTGCAAACCGCTCTTTAGACATAACTCCTCTAAAAATATCTCTCCCGGTTCCGTCCGTCGCAAACAATGCATTTAGGTCTTCATCATTTGATTTGAACACTGCACTAAACATCAGCAGACCAATGAACGCATCAAACTCCAAAGGATCAATGTCTTTCAGTTCAGGTTTATTCTGGCGTTTATATTTTTCTCTTGTCACTTCCAATCTTTGATTAGTAAAGTTTATAACTTTAGTTTTGATACTCTTAGATATCAGCAATCCAAATAATTGAGACGAAGAGCTGTCAGGTGGAATATAAGTTGCGGTCAATGGAACTACAATGTTGTGCGCAGGAGTTCGAGTGCTTCTTGATGGCCCTTCTGCGAACCACTTCATGCATCGTCTTTTACCATAGAAATATTTTTGGCGACGTGATTTGTCATTACAAGTCTCAGGTTCACTTACCTGGCTGATAGTTTCTCTTTCTAGAGGGTCAGCTCGACTTACTAAACGTGACAATGGAATGTCATCATCAGAGGAGTCGGAGATATGAGAATCTGCTGGTGTTGGTAAACTAATCTCTTCATTTTCTTCGTCTTCTTCTGATGAAGAATTTCCGCGATCTGATTGTATGCAATCTTCTTCACCTGCCGATGATTCCTCTGATTCTTCACATAGCCATGATTCTATGATGTCGTCTGATTTATTGTAACCAATACGCGTTCGGTGTATTTTCCGCGATGTGGAATGCCCGGGCGAAGTATTACATCGCTTACGATTCATTTTATCTACAAGCGAAAAAATAAAAGAAATTCGAAAAAGTTACACTAACACTGACAATACGAATGCCGTACGTCAGATGATCAAATTCACCTGTATAAAAGTGCGTCATACGTTCGTTCTCTCTGCAGCACGCGTGTTACTGACGGCTAGGAAACTACTAGAAACGACGAGCACGAATTCCCGCACAAAAACAAGTTATGAACGAATAACGGTTTTCGCAACGAATGTCATTCGTACGTCAGTGATTAAGGGTTAAAACCCCATACTTCAGGCAACGTTCATTCAAAAAAGATCTACACTGGCACGATTACTCTTCAGATGCTGCCAAATAGATTGTCATTTGATGTATTGGAGTATCTTATGCAGGTGTTTTAATTCTCTACAAATTATCTATAAACATTTCTATACCTATTTATTGTAGTTGGAAAGTTCCGTCTTTAGATCCGTCTTAGATGCCGTCTTTAGAGACGAACGGCTAAATCTGAATGATTCTAGTTCTAGGTCTTGTGTAAGTTCAGTTTTAGTTTAAAAAAATGTACAACCTAGTGCTATTTAACATTGCTACTAGAATTAACACTAAGTAGCGCTAGATAAGGTTAGGTTGTTCTATATTTTTATTGAACTAACACTAGAAAGAGAACTAGAATCATTCGAATTTAGTCGTGAAGTTTTATTTTATTATATTCGTAATCTTAATAAAACTACCTTTAAAGTGAGTCCAAACGTGACACATTTATCTCAAAAAACCAAAAAATTCGAACTTTCAACTATTAATTTTGACATATTTGTCAACTTCATAAAAAATCCTTTAAAATGAGTCCAAACTCGACATATTTAATTTTCATATTAATGAAGATACAATCACTTCCGGTTTGAAACGTCAACGTCAATTTTGACATATTTGTTATCTTCACTAAAAAACCTTTAAAATGAGTCCAAACAAGACGCACTTATCTCAAAAGACAAAAAAGTTAGAATAAAAAACATTAAACCCGAAGTTAGCAACAATGAAGATAGCAATTTAATTTTTAAATATTAATATCAACCTTAATTTTTGATTTTTTTGATTATATTTTTGTTTTTGTGACAAATATTAAGACATTTTATAAAAATTAAGAATATGTCAAAATGACATTGACATTTCAAACCGGAAGTTGACCATAGCTTCATTAATATTGAAGATAAATATGTCGTGTTTGTACTCATTTTAAAGGATTTTTAATGAAGATTACAAATATGTCAAAATTGAATTTAACATTTTCAAAATATACAACCTAAGACTATTTAACACTGTCACTAGAACTAACTAAAACTAGTCCTAGTACTAAAAACATTCGCTTTCTAGTTCTAGTTTTTTTAAATAAATTTAATTTCAGATCGATGACTGAACAAGAATGGGAAAAGATGCAGCAGGCTCACGTTTTGGCGAACGTTCAGCAGGCGTTTGACGTTTCTAGCGACGCAGAAGGTGACGATAACGATAGTCTGTTTAGTGCCGCTGACATATTGTCGCCTTCTGGTCACACAGATGCGCAAACTCTTGCGATGATGCTCCAAGAACAACTAGACGCAATCAACAACGAGATCCGGTTGATACAGGAGGAGAAACAGAACACCGAGGCGCGGGCTGAAGAACTCGAGTCGAGAGTGGGCAGCATGGAACACATGAATCTACTAGCTAGAGGGCGCAGTCTCGAACGACAAAGTCCACCTGTCAGCGGCCGATCAACCCCTAAATCTCATCATTCACCCCAACGAGATTATTTGCACAAATATCATACGGTGAGAATTTTTTATTTTAATTTTTTTGATGGGTATTTTTGGTTCTTTTTTCCATTTGCATGAGAGTTGCATGTTAATAATTTTACTTAATTCGTTTTTCTATTAACATTATTTTCTTGTTACTTGGTATTTTCTGGTTCCATGCAAAAAATATAGAATTATTCAGTTTGTTAAAATAAAAAAAGAAATATATATTCTATAATTTTTGTTACGTTGTTTTTCGGTTTGGTGTTTTTGTTTTTCTTCACATTAGTTAGAACTGGGTGGATGTTGTAGGCGCCCGCCTCTATGTCCCCGGCTCACTTACAACAGCAGTACCATGGCATCTTGAGCCCAGGCGCCCTCTCAGAGTCATTGCCATCGAGTCAGGTTTGTCCCGATTAAAAGAAAGCCGTCGCCGCGACTTGTTTTATTTTTGCCGTTAAAAGAAAACTCCCCACACTAATTACACTAATAATACATTATCTCTATCTAGAAACAAATCACTTTAGACAGAGAGCACTTTGAATATCAAAAATCACTACTATTCTTATAATTTTTTCTTTTTAATCGATGAAAGTGTTTTATTCTGTTTCTGCTTGGACGTTTTTGGTTGTTTTTCGCATGTTCGTTTCTTTTGGGGTATTCGAAAAGGGTTATTTTGAGTTTGTTTTTTTTGAAACAGCTTCAACTGGCTCCCCTTCAATCGGAATTATCTAGGGATGAAATTCATATCGGCGATAGTAGCAGCGGAGGTGGGGCTTCACCTTTAACCGCGAGATCTTTACGACTTGAAAGGGTCGCTCAAGCTTTAGCTCATAGTCAAGAAGAATTACGGAGGTGAGTTTTTGCATTATCATGGGTATTATTTAAGATATGGTATGTTCAATAAAAAGATAGATTAAAGAGCGCTACAAATATATTAACTTAGAATCTTTAATATCGTAGTACACTGTTATTTGCAGTCTATACAGGGTGATTTATAACATATGGAGCACACTAAAAGGGTCAAGCTGAAGAGATTTTCTTAATAATGTTTTGTTAAAAACTTAATAGTTACATAGATATCGCATGTTAATTGTTTAAATAATTCAACGCCCATTTTTGAGAACCGCTGATATTCAGTAAAGAACAATTAAAATATTTGTTAGTGCCATCCTCATTTTTGAAGGAGCTGTAAAACTAGACAATTTATTGTTTCAGTAGTTTAATTATTTTAGATAATACGAATTTGTTAAAAGAAATAATAGATGTTAATTTATGAAATCTCTAATAATAATGTTTTAAATGCAAAATTACAAAATCTGAAATTTGACGAGTACTAGTAGACACTCTATGTCTGTTTGGTCTACCAAGGCCTTTCTTAGGTTGTCTCTCTTCCCTGTTGAACTAACCGAAGAAAAGTGTTTTTTGAAGGCATCTGTTGATTTGGAAATCGTTTCAAATACGATTACGTGTGCAGCGTTTTCTCCAGCAGCTCCATAAACAATAAGCACATCAACGTATTTCTCATTAAGTTGTGGTTAAGACATTATTAAGAAAATATCTCCAATTTGGCCCCTAGTACACCTACCTTTTTAGTCCGCTCCGTATGTTATAAATCACCCTGTATTTTTTTCCTATTAGCTTGTATAAGTATATCAATAACTATTTTTAAGTCCCTAACTGATTCCAAGTGTGTCTAAATGTCCCCAAATAATTTTAAGTGTGTCTAAATATCTCCAATTGATTCGAAACGCGTCTAAATGTACCCACCCAACTGTTTCTCCAAGTGTGGATTGGATCTTTATCATCACCTAATATCATAATGAACCTCACCAGTCTAGTTAAAATGTTATATATACAGTGTGTCCCAGGATAGATGTTACAAGAGGTATCTAATGACTTAAAAATTTTTGAATTTTATTTTAAGGCTGAGGAATTAAGCCCTGCTTGGTGTGGAGAGAATTTTAAGTATATTTTTATATTTTGAAAATCAACTCGGCCTTGATGGTGAAGCGAAAACTATTTTGAGTTCAGGTAAAGTAAGCTTTTTGTTCATGATACGGCAAAATATCATTAAGAAAAATCGTTCAAAATGAGAAATTATGACACTATGCAAAATTTCAGAAAGATCTACCTACATTGATTAAACCACCAAAATTTTGAATAAAACAAAATGAAGAAAAAAAAAAATGACTTAAGTAGTCGCAAATATTGACAAATAAATTGTATTTTTCCTCAGTTTTAGTTCACATTTCAATTACTATACAATATTTATGTTGTTTAAACTAAAATGGTTCAACCAAAGTAGATAGATCCTTCTGAAATTTTGTATAAGACCATAATTGCTCATTCTGAACAACTTTTCTTAATAAAACATTTCCGTATCATGATCAAAAAGATTACTTTACCTAAACTAAAAATAGTTTTCGATTAATAATATTCTTAAAATTCTCTTCACACCAAGCAGGGCTTAATTAATTCCTTAGCCTTAAACTAATTTTGCAAAAATTTTTAAGTCATTATACTTCTTGCAACATCTATCCTGGGACACACTGTATAATCGAACGCGCGTTATGCATCACTTGACTAAGCGACAAATGATCAATGTTGAGAAAAACGAGATTTTCCTTTTCATCTGTCTAATAATATAAGACTTCTCAGAATACAGGAATACAGAATACGTTTTACGATTATACAGGATTTTTTTAAATCAACGTAAAATAAACAGCACGTTAAAAATAAAAAGAAAGTGCGGAAAAGTGACTAACACTAGATAAACTTCAGTTATAAAATTTCTATTATATGATAACTAACTTCAGGTTTAACATGTCAACCTCAATTTTGACATATTTGTAATCTTCATTAAAAATCCTTTAAAATGAGTACAAACACGACATATTTATCTTCAATATTAATGAAGTTATGGTCAACTTCCGGTTAAGAATGTCAACGTCAATTTTGACATATTTGTAATCGTCGTGAAAAATCCTTTAAAATAAGTCCAAACATGATACGTTTAATTCCAATATTACTGGAGGTATAACTAACTTCCGGTTTGAAACGTCAACGTCATTTTGACATATTCCTAATTTGTATAAAATGTCTTAATATTTGTAACAAAAACAAAAATATAATAAAAAAAAAATCAAAAATTAAGGTTGGTATTAAAATTTAAAAATGAAATTGCCCTCTTCATTGTTGCTAACTTCGGGTTTAACGTTTTTTTATTTAAACTTTTTTGTTTTTTGAGATAACTGCGTCTTGTTTGGATTCATTTTAAAGGTTTTTTTAATAAAGGATACATCATGAAAGAACTATGAAGTTGTCCATTTGTCTATTATATGATAACTAACTTCAGGTTTAAAATGTCAACCTCAATTTTGATATATTTGTAATCTTCATTAAAAATCCTTTAAAATGAGTACAAACACGACATATTTATCTTCAATATTAATGGAGTTATGGTCAACTTCCGGTTAAGAATGTCAACGTCAATTTTGACATATTTGTAATCGTCGTGAAAAATCCTTTAAAATGAGTCCAAACATGATACGTTTAATTCCAATATTACTCGAGATATAAGCAACTTCCGGTTTGAAATGTCAACGTCATTTTGACATATTCTTTTTTTTTATAAAATGTTTTAATATTTGTCACAAAAACAAAAATATAATAGAAAAAAATCAATAATTAAGGTTGGTATTAATATTTAAAAATTAAATTGCTATCTTCATTGTTGCTAACTTCAGGTTAATGTTTTTATATTCTAACTTTTTTGTTTTTTGAGATAAGTGCCTCATGTTTGGACTCATTTTAAAGGTTTTTTAATGAAGATGACAAATATGTCAAAATTGACGTTGACGTTTCAAACCCGAAGTGATTGTATTTTCATTAATATTAAAGTTAAATAGGTCGAGTTTGGACTCATTTTAAAGGATTTTTTATGAAATTGACAAATATGTCAAAATTGACGATAATATGTCGTTTAGTCAAGTGATGTATAACGCGGTCCAAATAAAACTAGAGTTGTAGTTTCAGTTCAATAAATACGGGGTGTCCCGCAACGATTATACAATACTGCATCAGCGTTTTCTCTGATGGAAAATAAATAAAAAAAGCCTAATAAACATAGGTCCGAAAATGGACCATTTTCGCGATATTCAAAGATTTTGGTTTCATAAGTTAACATGATTAATTGTAACGGTTTAGATGCAGTAATTATATGATTACCATGGTTACGATGGTTAATATAAAGTTTAATAAGTTAGTTAATACAGTTCTTTAATAATTTAGCAAAATAAGTAACAAAGATTGGCGAAAATCTCGGGAATTTGTTTTATTGCATATCAATAACTGTTCCTGAGTCCCTAACTGATTCCAAGTGTGTCTAAATATCCCCAATTGATTTCAAGTGTGTCTAAATGTACCTAAGTGCTTCTCCAAGTGTGTCTAAATATCCCTAATTGATTCCAAGTGTGTCTAAATGTACCTAAGTGCTTCTTCAAGTGTGTCTAAATATCCCCAACTGCTTCGAAACATGTCTAAATGTATCCAACTGCTTCTCCAAGTGTGGATTGGATTCCTATTATCACTTAATATCATAATGAACCTCACCACTTTAATTAAAATGTTATACATATAAACAAACGCTCTTTTAAAATCAAATTTTTGTTGAACATGCATTAATTTAGAGTATAAATAATAAGAAATTACAAAAAATTTTGTAATGATTATTAGACGAACCGGAGCAGTTGGAATGCCAACAGGCGTAACAACATACAGGTTGTTAAAAATAAAAGAAAACATTTATTTTTTTTTATCAAAGATTATAGCACCGTTTTTGCTTTTTATTTTATTTCAAAAAAAGCACCTTTTTAAGTTCTTTTTTTTATTACAACATTTCGTTTGAAGAAAAAAAAAGAATTTTCGTTTTATGTTGGCTTTAAGCATGCCCGGTATAGAATTAGTTTAGAGTAGAGTGCAGTGTCTTTAGGCAAGGACAGACCCATACACCACCGTCACCATTATCCTCTCGTCACAGCAGCCAGGAGAGTCTACACAAAAACACCGTTTCGGGCGTGCCAAGAGATGTATCAGCCGCTGCTGTTGCGGCTGCGGCCGCCGCCCAGAAGAAGAAAGGAATTAAATCGTCGTTAGGAAGATTCTTTAGCAAAAAAGAAAAGGTAACGAAATAATTAATAAATAAAAAGTTGAAATAATTAATTAATTGTTGAATTAGGGTAAAGGCAAAGATGTTACCGATGCTTCTAGTCTCAGTTTGAGTCAACAAGGTATGATGAGCGATGGTGATATATCCGATTCGATGAGCATATCCGGAAAATTGGGACAAAAAGGCGATTTTGATCGGAGACAGAAGAAAAAGTGGGTGTAAGATCATTTTTGGGTTTAAATCATTTCAACCAATAACAAAAATAAATAAATAAAATGAAGGGCTTAGTGTGAAACAATGACAAGTCACATTTTTTTCAAATATGACTTTTGCTTATTTTCTTAAGCGTAATGCGTTGCTACATACGCATTTGTTTTGTAAAAATAAACAATGACAAGTCACACAAAAATTGTAACGCGTCGTGACTTAAGTGCATGTGAATCGAATAATTTTAATATAATGAAATGAGTGATGTAGATTCTCCAGTCGATGATAGTGGTATTGATAGAGATTATGTACCTAGTGATGCAGAAAAGGTAGATACAAATCAACAGGTAAATGACTTTTTTCATTTATGGGGCATGTTATTGTATTGCCATTGTTAATTCTATGCAAGCAAATTAGGTTGTCATTGGGTGGCTAGTTTAGTATTGCTTTTTCAATATAGAACGATGGTATAAAAGATCAGATGGGGAAACAGGGAGCAGAACATTAAAATGGATTAGGGCTGATACACCTGAACCTGCCCCTAGAAGTAGATGGAAACACCGAAAAGAAGACACATATCCACGATCAAAAAGAAAAATAAGAAGAAATCTGAGACAGCAGTATACTAGTGACAAAACCAAAAAGACTGTTGCAGCTCGGGAGTTAGGACCTCCTTGTGAGTGTAAAAAAAGATGTAGAGAGAAACTAGATGGTAATGAAAACCGTATTTTCAATGAATTTTGGGATCATGGGAATTGCAGAATGGGTATCTCTTTGGATGCATTGCTATAGCAAAGAAAAAGAGATCTTACAAAACAAGGCAAAAACGACAAGAACCAAGTAGAACTTCCAATGCGATTTATTCTGTCAATGCTAATGGCCAAACAGTAAACGTGTGTAAAACCGAGTTTCTGAATGTTCACGGTCTGCAAAAATCAAAGGGTAGACTGAACAACATCGTTTCAAAGAAAATGAGAGGAACTCCTGTACCAGAAAAAGATAAACGTTCAAACGCATATAGATTTAATACCTAAATACCAAAGTCACAAATCTAGGGAAAGTATACCTTAACTATGATATGACCATATCGCGTCTTTATTCTGAGTATTATGTTCCGTGGTGTCAACAACAACATATCAAACCTGTTCTGGAGCACACATATAGGCAGATATTTTGTACAGAATACAATATTGGCTTTAAATTACCCAAATCCGACACAAACTTGCAAAACTTGTGATCAACTTAACATCAGAATAGACTCTGCAACAAAATTAAATGAAAATCAGGAATTGTCTCGGCTAAACATTGACCTGACGACACAAAACTAAAGCGAAAGCAATGCAGGATTTGTTAAATAACACGACTAAACACCAATAGAACGTTGGTAATTTCATTTGACTTACAACAGGCATTACCAATCCCTAAATTAACAACGGGTCCAGCGTTTTATTGCAGAAAAATCTGGTTATACAACTTAGGCATTCATGATTGTACGAATGGCAAAGGGCACATGTTTCTCTGGACGGAAGATATAGCAACAAGAGGAAGTGATGAAGTCGCTTCAATCCTTCTAAAATTTCTTATGACGAAGACCGAAATTGGCCACCTAATTATATTTACAGATAATTGCCCAGGGCAAAATAAAAATTGGCTAATGATGAGTTTATGGCTACAACCATAATTAACCAAATTCTTGTAGAAGCTGGTAAATTAAGCAAAATACTTCCAGAAGCTGGCAGAATGAAATAAAATGTTACCAAAAACAAATAGAATTAAGCAAAATATTTCCTAAACCTGACAGGATTGCAATGGTGTACGTAATATACAGGGTGTTTTATAACATATGGAGCAGACTAAAAGGGTAGGTACTTGGGGTCAAACTGAAGAGATTTTCTTAATAATGTTTTGTTAAAAATTTAATAGTTAAATAGATATCGCATGTTAAGTTTTTAAATAAGTTATCGTCCATTTTTGAGAACCGCTGATATTCAGTAAAGAACAATTAAAATACTTGTTAAATGACATGTCCGCTGCTAGGTAACCAAATCATCTGGATTGGCAGCAATAAAAACATGGTATCAGCGGTTCTGAACAAACAAACACCAGTTTTTGAGCGATTTAACGAATTTTTAAATAGCCGTAACTGCCATATTACAAAAATTTTAATATTGGTGCTAATTATGCATTGTTTAAGTAACCCCGAAATATTCGCAGTTTGAATTTATACATAGTGTAATACCGTATATTGTAAGAAATACTCGGCCATTAATTCAACTTTAACGTTCTATATCTTTGTGGTTATTACGGTGTAGTCAAAACATTATTAAGAAAATAACCCTTTTAATCTGCTCCGTATGCTATAAATCACCCTGTATATATAATATACAGGGTGATTCACATAAGAACCGACACAGAGCAGGGACATGTAGAGGACAATAAATTAAGATGATTTAACGCAACTTACCTCTATACTAAGTTGTACACCTGAGGAGTTATAGGCCTTCAAAGTTGGCTCTTAAATTTTTAAAAAGTTCAATATCTTCGTAATAAATTAAGCTAGAAGAACCAAATTTGGTACACGTTATGAGTGTACCAAGGGTATTAATTGGTAGCAAATTGAACTCAATTGAGACATTTCATTTAAAGGTAATGGTACCCTAAATTTTGACAGATTTTTTTAACGTTTTGGCGGATTTAATAAATTACTACTTCATTTCATGTGGAATTTAATTCTAAAACTTTTCTTACTCTTATTATTTTTAAAAAAACTTTGTCGTTTTCATAAATAACTAAAGGCACTTATTTCGTAATTTTACTTAAAATAAGCGAAAATTCAGTAGTCGGCTATGAAATTGTACGTCAAACTTGACAAATAGGTTATAAAGTTATTTGACAAGTTTGACGTACAATTTCACAGCCAACTACAGAATTTTCGATGTTTTTAAGTAGCATTAACGAAATACGTGTCTTTAGATATTTTTAACAATGTTTTTTAAAAAATAATAAGAGTAAAGAAAGTTTTAGAATTAAATTCCACTTGAAATGAGGTAATAATGCATTAAATCCACCAAAGGGTTAAAAAAATCTGTCAAAATTTAGGGGACCATCACCCTTAATCAACCCTTTGGAATGCCTCAATTGGTCTCAACTTGCTACTAATTAATACCCTTGGTACACTCATAACGTATACCAAATTTGGTTTTACTAGCTTAATGTATTACGAAGATATTCAATGTTTTAAACATTTAAGACCCAACTTTGAAGGCCTATAACTCCTCAGAGGTACAACTTAGTATAGAGATAAGTTGCGTTAAATCATCTTAATTTATTGTCCTCTACATGTCCCTGCTCTGTGTCGGTTCTTATGTGAATCACCCTGTATATTTATTATAGTTTTCTATACAGGGTGCCCATTATGTATGGAATATCGTATATATCTCGATAAATGTTGACTTTATAAAAATACGTTTTATATAAAAGTTGCTTAATATTTTATTTACCATAATAAGACTGCATTTAATTGTTTTTATATCAGAAAACAAATGAGTAACGACTAACACTTGATTTTTTTTAAATGGCAATGTACAAATTTCAAAGTCGATTTTCCAGTAATTTCATATTTATGCCTTATCATTGTTTCACACTAAGCCCATCAAATAGATTAGTGTATTAGAAAATAGCACATTTGATCACGTTTTTGTTTTATAACAACCCATTTAAGTTGAAATGATTCCAATCAACCAAAAAAACAATCTTTTTTTATTCACTTTCAATTAAAATCACTTTATTATTATTTTTTAGACCCCTTTTTTACTAACACTCTTTTTAAAATTTTCCTCTTGTAAGGGAACGTGATTACAGACACGAACTACTCGCTGAAGCTATGAAAGCCGGCACTCCATTCGCTTTATGGAACGGACCAACGATCGTGGCGTGGTTAGAACTTTGGGTGGGAATGCCCGCTTGGTACGTGGCGGCGTGTCGAGCCAACGTGAAATCGGGGGCGATTATGAGCGCACTTAGCGACACGGAGATTCAACGGGAAATCGGCATCAGCAATCCGTTACATCGACTCAAGTTACGATTGGCAATACAGGAAATGGTCTCGTTAACATCGCCATCCGCGCCGAAAACCTCGCGAACAACGTTAGCTTTCGGCGACATGAATCACGAATGGATCGGAAATTCGTGGTTACCCGCTTTGGGTTTACCACAGTATCGAACCACTTTTATGGAATGTTTGGTTGATGCGAGAATGTTGGATCATTTGACGAAAAAGGATTTGAGAGGACAATTAAAAATGGTTGATAGTTTTCATAGGTACAACAAAAATTGGGTTTTATTCAAATTTAATAAATTAAATTATTATAGGACTAGTCTTCAATTTGGGATATCGTGTTTAAAACGATTAAATTACGATCGGAATTTGTTGGAGGATAGGCGGAAGACTTCCGAAAATACGAATACAGATGTTTTAGTTTGGAGTAATGAGCGTTTAATTCGATGGGTCGCTGCAATTGGTTTGAAGGAATACGCAAATAATTTAATTGAATCAGGGGTACATGGTGCTTTGATTGCTTTAGATGAAAGTTTTGATTCGAATAGTATGGCTTTAGCACTTCAAATTCCAACTCAAAATACACAGGTATGGTTTGTTTATTTTTTTTTTTAATGTAATATCTGTCAATGTCAATATGTTAGTGTTACCAACTTTAAAACAATTTGACTGGTATTATTTGCAAAAGATGGCGTTAGTTATTAAAGTCCCTAGATTTACAAAGTACCGCGGTTCATGAAACCTGTTTTCGAGCCAAAATGGCGGTTTGACAACTTGTCACTGCATCTCACCACTTATTTACAAAAATATTGCCGTCTTGTTGCGTTTGAAGTTGCAAAAATGGCAGTAAGAAGGACTTTCGACTCTTCAGAGTACCACGAGATAAAAAGAAAGGAAATTTGGCGTAATGTTTTGGTTTGTAGTTTTAAATTTCCCGCTTGACTTTCGAGCCAAAATGGCGTCAAACCGCGGTACTTTGTAAATCTAGGGACTTTAGTTATTATGAACTTAAAATTTATTATCTGGTTTAGTTGTTTACTTTTTTGTATTAAATAATCTAAATTAGATCTAGAACTAGAAACATTCGAGTTTAGCCCGAATTTTCTAGTTTTACATCTACTGTTAGTTCAATAAAAATATACAGGGTGTATCTGAATGACTACAACAATTTTTTTTTTTAATGAAAATGAAAAATATATTGGAAAAATTTCAGTTAGATAGATAAAACTATTCTAAAACTTTTTTGTCTTTCTGATGTTCTTCTAAAACTTAATAATTTCTGAGAAAAAAAAAAAAATAAGCAAACACTAACTGTTAAGCTGTAGGGTTGTTAATCGAAAGTTGGAATGAATTTTTAATGAAAAAATCTTAGTAGGCTTTGCAATCTTTGTCAGAAATATTTTTGACGTTTAAATGTCAGTGGTTTTCTTACCATTATTATTGTTTTATTTAAAATTTTTAAAGCGTAAATGCGATAGAACTTTATTCAAAAATTAGTCGTTTTTGGAAAAATTTTAGAGAGAAAAAAGTTTTAGGATACTTTCATCTACCTATGTAAAATTTTTCTAATGTATTTATCATCTGCATAACAAGAATTTTAACAAAAATATAAAGGGGGTGGTTACGTTTAGTAGTTTAGAAGGGTAGGTTGAAAGTACAAATATTGTCAAAATTTGCCCTATTATCAGTTAAACATATTCCCCAAATTTCATTTTCCTAGCGTTTATGGTTTTTGAGAAAAAGAAATTAAACCAAAATTTTCCGCCATTTTTGGAGGGGTGTAGCTCCTTAGGGGGGCCGAAGCCGCCCATGGTTCATATATCAAAGTACTCTTAAAATTCACTAAAGAATCATCCCTTGAAGTTTATGGCAGTCATTCAGATACACCCTGTATAACAACCTGGCGCTGAGTAACAAATAAAACTAGAACTAACACTAGACCTAGAACTAGAAATATTCTTCTAGGTCTAATGTTAGTTCTGGTTTTAATTTAATAAAAATATAGAATAATCTAGCATTATCTAGTGCTACTTAGTGTTATCTAACACTGTCACTAGAACTAACGCTAGATTTAGAACAAGAAACGTTGCAATCATTCAGATACACCTGTATAACAACCTGGCGCTGAGTAACAAATAAAACTAGAACTAACACTAAACCCGAAACTTTCTAGTTCTAGGTTTAGTTTAATAAAAATATAGAATAATCGAGCATTATCTAGCGCTACTTAGTATTATCTAACACTATCACTAGAGCTAATGCTAGATTTAGAACAAGAAACGTCGGGTTAACACCACTAAACCAGAATGTTTTTAGTTCTAGATCTAGTGTTAGTTCTTGTGACAGTGTAAAACTAGAACTAACATCAGACCTAGAACTTGAAACATTCGGGTTTAGCCACACGTCTCTAAAGACGGTTAAACCCGAATGATTCTAGTTCTAGGTCTAACGTTAGTTTTTGTGACAGTGCAAGTGTAAAACTAGAACTAACACTATACCGAGAACTAGAATCATTCGGTTTTAACCGTCTTAAAAGACGTGCGGCTAAATCCGAATGTTTCTAGTTCTAGGTCTAGTGTTAGTTCTAGTTTTACACTAAGCACTATTACTATGTAGAACTAACACTATACCTAGAACTAGAATTATTTGGGTTTAGCCGTCTTTAGAGACGTATGGCTAAACCCAAATGATTCTAGTTCTAGGTATAGTGTTAGTTCTGGTTTTACACTTGCACTGTCACTAGAACTAACATTAGATCTAGAACTAGAAACATTCGGATTTATCCGCACGTCTTTCAAGACGGCTAAACCCGAATGATTCTAGTTCTAGGTCTTGTGTTAGTTCTAGTGATAGTGCTAGTGTAAAACTAGAACTAACACTAGACCTAGAACTAGAAACATTCGGATTTATCCGCACGTCTTTCAAGACGGATCAACCTGAATGATTCTAATTCCGGGTCTACTGTTACTTCTAGTTTTAGTTTAATAAAAATATAGAATAATCTAGCATTATCTAGTGTTACTTAGTGTTATCTAACACTGTCACTAGAGCTAACACTAGACCTAGAACTGGAAACATTCAGATTTAGCCACACGTCTCTAAAGATGGCTAAACCCGAATGATTCTAGTTCTAGATGTAGTGTTGGTTCTAGTTAAATACAAATATACAACAATCTAGCGCAGTGACATGGTTATTTATTGGACTGCGTGTACGCCAAATAAAGTGATGCCAGCAGGGTATGCAACCAACATTTGCCATGGCAACCAAAAGTGACCATTTCAATGGTCACTATATGGTTATATTTCGATAAGTTTTCCTGATTAATTTGAAGAATAAAAATCTTTCCTGGAACCTAAAATGCCCTTAAATGAATACGTTGCGTATTCAAACACGTAATTTGATGGATTTTCTTGTTCAATCACACGTATTTTTTGGTAAACTTAGAGATTTTTAGGAAGAATGCATCTGGTGAATTGTCAAATGTCAAAAATATGATTGAGTATGGATGGTTACCGCTAGATGGTGTAAGTAACTGATTAAAAATTAAAAAAGATTTTATTATTATTAAAAAACATTGAAACCTCAACATTACAAAAATTTAACGTAATAGGAAAGGTTTGGCGAGGAATATTTATGATAAGATATTATTAAAAGATAGTAAAATTATTATAATAAAAAAAAATATTTAAAATTGACTGGATGAAAAGTGGGGTTATATTTTATTTACTTGGAAATTTGGGGAGAAAATTTTCTTTATGGGACCGAAAATCACTTTATATAAATAATTTCCGTGTTCAAAAACGTACCTTGATGAATTTTCTGGCTGAATTACACTTATTTTTTGTAAAATTGAATAATTTTAAGAGAAAATGTATCTGGTGAATTGTGAAATGTCAAAAATACGATTTAGTATAGATGGTTACCGCTAGATGGGGTGAGTAACTGCTTAAAAAGACTTTATTGTTATTAAAAAACATTAAAACCTCAACATTACAATAATATAACGTAATAGGAAAGGTTTGGCGAGAAATATTTATGTAATGAGAAATAACGTATCAAAGGATAGTACAATTATTATAATAAAAAAAATATTTAAAATTGACAAGATAAAAAGTGAGGTTATATTTGCTTTACTTACAAATTTGGGGAGAAAAATTTCTTTATGGGATCTAAAATCACTTTATATAAATAATATGCGTGTTCAAAAACGTACCTTGATGAATTTTCTGGCTGAATTACACTTATTTTTTGTAAAATTGAATAATTTTAAGAGAAAATGTATCTGGTGAATTGTGAAATGTCAAAAATACGATTTAGTATAGATGGTTACCGCTAGATGGGGTGAGTAACTGCTTAAAAAGACTTTATTGTTATTAAAAAACATTAAAACCTCAACATTACAATAATATAACGTAATAGGAAAGGTTTGGCGAGAAATATTTATGTAATGAGAAATAACGTATCAAAGGATAGTACAATTATTATAATAAAAAAAATATTTAAAATTGACAAGATAAAAAGTGAGGTTATATTTGCTTTACTTACAAATTTGGGGAGAAAAATTTCTTTATGGGATCTAAAATCACTTTATATAAATAATATGCGTGTTCAAAAACGTACCTTGATGAATTTTCTGGTTGAATTACACTTATTTTTTGTAAAATTGAACAATTTTAGGAGTAAATGTATGTGGTGAATTTTGAAATGTCAAAAATACAACTTAGTATAGATGTTTACCGCTAGATAGGGTGAGTGTTATGCAAATTGCTTCATGTGAATATCTAAAATAACATTATTAAAATGTTATTATTAAAATATTATTAAAAAAAATTATTATCGTCGAAATTTTGAACTTGTTTATAAACAGTTCATGCTGTGTTAATTTCGTATGAGCATGCGTTAACCATAAATTTAGTTCAAACTACCGCCACTTTACGCACACATACGTACAAATACTCACACATACGCATCAAATCAAAACGTCATCATAGGAAGTATAAAATCAATAAAATTTTGACATTCAACAGTCAAATTGTTTTTGACTTAACAAAATTTCGTTTTAAAACTGTGTATGTTGAAATTTTGCAGAAACAAATTCTCTATAAACAAAATTAACAGTTTTTGCTTATAGTGAATTTGTTTCTGTCAAATTTTATCATAAGATTTTTCAAATTCCCGGGTAAAATGCTACTAGCGCTAAATGAGGGTAGTCTGAATTAAAAACAGCGTTTCATTTTAAGGTGGGGAATCCACCATCTATATTAGTATATTTATATATTTAATCTATGAAACAGTTACTTTGTCATTTTGTCACTGACAATGGTACAGCAAGTCAGAAAATTGCATAGTAGAAGGGTATTTCTCTTATTTGCGCATTTATCAGACCCGCAATAGCATTAACCTTGCCGTGTGGTTGGTCGCTTTTGCCTACAATGGCCACTGTTGGTTGCCTAACCTATTGGCATCACTCTTTTACACGGAAACTATGCGGAACATGCTCATGATGACGTCATGTACGATAATTAATTAACGCACTGTATATCTATAAACAAGGCTAATAGCAAAATCCGCGCTTGTGTGTTAAAAATAAAATTATAACTATTATTTATAATAAAATATATTTATATTTAAGGCACGTCAAAATTTGGAGATAGAATTTATAAATTTACTACGTATGGCAACGGATCGTCGCCCGGATGAAATGGTAAGATCCTGATATGCGCATGCTCCTCAATAAGTAGGAGAAACAAGTTGACTTATAATGAATTAAAAAAAATTAAACGTTGAAATGAAGATAAAAATCATAAATAGACTTCCCCACGCGCCCCAAAAAATAAAAAGCCAAGCCCCGCGTCGAGTGTGTGTATCTTTGAAAGAAGCAGACATGGTGTGCTACGCAATTACACATTTGTACAAAAAAAAAAAATAAAAGAAAATCCGAAGAGAGCTTTAATTGACTATATATATTAATATATGAATATGAAAAAAAAAAATAATATAAATCCTCCTCCCATCACCTCTACTTATTACGATTATTAAAATTAATAATAATATTATTTATCACGACTCGTAGTATTAAAGAAAATTAAATACGATTGATTCTAAAACAATTGTAAGTTATTATCAAGAAAGGGATGAAGTTGTTTGTTGTACCCTTGTTATTTTTATTATTTTTTTCTATTTTGATTTATTTTTTTGGCGGCTACACCTCAGTATTATTCATGCGTGTGCCTGCAGTGAGAGTGAAGTGGCTGCCAATATATAAAGCTTTTTTTTTAATTAAGCGATTTTCTTTATAATACAGGTTCTTTTTCTTTTAATTTTAATTTTTTCATCTTCCTTATTAGATTTCCATCGTAATAATCACAATTTCTTTTGTAAATAAACTTAAACCAATTAAGAAAAAGAATGTTATAACAACTACCTCGTAAATATGTTTTAATTAAAAAAAAAATGACAATAAGGAAGATAACCTTACAATAACAAAAAAAAATAATTAAACAAGTTTTATGCTAGTCCTTTTATTATTTATTTAATTTCTCAATTAGTTAAAAAAAGAACCTGTATTAAAATTAAAAAAAAAAAAATAATGCATTATAAAAAACATTACCATTTTTTAGTGTAGTACAAAATAAATGAATTATTAATAAGGAGTATCGTGAAATCATTGAAACAAAACAAAAAAACGCATACCATTGCAGTAATTAGTCGTATATATATAACACTATACATATTATAAATATTTGCTCTTTGAAGGACGGCTCTGTATATATTATACAATTTGGAAAAAAAACGTACTTTATTACTTTTTAGTATATTTTATACAACAATATGTAATATATTTTTAAACTTGTTATTTATTTTCCAAAACCTAATGATGTGAACATATACATACTAATAAATAATACATACACACGAGTAGGATAATAACGAGTACATGATGAAGGAACCTACCTAAAATGTAAGTTAAAATAAGTAAGCGTAATAGTACCGATATAAATAATAATAATAATATTGATAATACTGTGCTTGTATACTTTTTCTGTATATCGAAAATCCCAAAGTTTTTTGTGTCACCTCGGGGGTGGAAAAAAAATTGGAACCGTTTTCGACTTTTACGAGAAAGAGACGTAACCCGAAATAAAAAATGATTACCAGATAGTGTTAATTTATGTACATTGCATTATATATAAATATAAACGAAAATTCGAAACGTAATGATATTTTTATTTAATAAAAAAAACCTTATCTGACACTGCCCATTTATATAATAACGCTATTAACACTTTTGTAAGACAAAATCATATAGAAGTAGTAACAAGTAACAAGACAGAATATGGAATGAAGATGTTTTGCGGAATATAGGATGATGGATTCCAGAAACCATTTGCATCATAAGCACAGATATTTGCGAAACAACTAAAACACACTAGCATTACAACCAACACTAGATCACCTTTGAAATATAACGCACCTACTAGTTGAAAATTCCAAGCCACCTATAACTTTTATCATTAACGTTTATCTTTCATTTTTACTCGATTATATACAAGATGGTTTAAATTTTAACCGAAAACTTTACTAGAAGATAGTACTTGCAAGTATGCAACCAATATCACAGCATTTTTATTGCAATACGCGATTTATGTATGATGCGTATTGCACTGTGATATTGGTTGCATACTTGCAATGATGACGTCAGGTACGATAATTAATTAACACACTGTATTTGTGATTAAAATTATGCCACGATTTACAGAAACACCTGTATAATGACATCAGCAAAACTGATAACAGAAGAACAATAATGAAAGTTTTAATATAACTGTATGGGTGATTGCACCTAAAAGTTCTTTTAGTGGCAAAGAGATTTCGGACATTTGCTCAGTAACTGCTACAATTTTTGTAAAAATAAAATAAATTAAAAATTGTTAAAGTTACAGCCAATTCTGTTTCATTATTTAAGCAAAAATTCAATCCTTAGTCTTAAGACGGTTAAACCCGAATGTTTCTAAGTTTAGTGTTAGTACTACTTCTAGTTCAATAAAAATATACAACAATGTAGCGTTGAACAGCAATTAAAACTAGAACTAACACAAGAACTAGAAAAATTCGAGTTCAGTTTAGCCGTCTTCAGACGTACGGCTAAACACGATTTTTTCTAGATCTAGTGTTAGTTCTAGTTTTAGTGCAATAAAAATATACAACATAGTGATAGCCAGCAACATCATGTTTGGACTCATTTTAATATTTTTTTAAAATAAAGAATACATCATAAAAAAACACCATGAAGTTGTCCATTATATAATAACTAACTTCAGATTTAAAATATCAACCTCAATTTTGACATATTTGTAATCTTCGTTAAAAATCCTTTAAAATGAATACAAACACGACATATTTATCTTCAATATTAATAAAGTTATGGTCAACTTCCGGTTAAGAATGTCAACGTCAATTTTGACATATTTGTAATATTCGTGAAAAATCCTTTAAAATGAGTCCAAACATGATACGTTTAATATTATTTAATGATTTTCTTTCCATTTTATATTCAATGTAAATAAAATTCGATTTTTTGCATTTCAAATGGATTACTTTATTTATTTCTTTTTCTCTACCGGTTTCGCCACATATAGCATTATCAGGAGAATACCTGTATTAATACAAATCATATTTTATATGTTAATCTTAAAACAATAAACGCGTTACATTATTTGAACAATTACATTAAACATTTTTAAAAACTTACGTCAATTGGTTAGAAAAGATTCTTAGGATAAATGTCGTTGAGTGTTTCTTTATATGTTTTCATTTTCAAATTACACTGACAACCTTAGAGAATTGAGATTGAAGAGGATTAAGAAATTATAAAACGTTATGGCGTCGTGCACCTTGCCGTTAAAGTTAATTTGAGGTTAGGGGTCATATGTTGTCTTGGGGGATTTCTATTTTTCCAGATGGTAACATCATGAAGTTGTCTATTTGTCTATTATATGATAACTAACTTCAGGTTTAAATAGCCAACCTCAATTTTGACATATTTGTAATCTTCATTAAAAATCCTTTAAAATGAGTACAAACACGACATATTTATCTTCAATATTAATGAAGTTACGGTCAACTTCCGGTTAAGAATGTCAACGTCAATTTTGACATATTTGTAATCGTCGTGAAAAATCCTTTAAAATGAGTCCAAACATGATACGTTTAATTCCAATAGTACTCGAGATATAAGCAACTTCCGGTTTGAAATGTCAACGTCATTTTGACATATTCTTAATTTTTATAAAATGTCTTAATATTTGTCACAAAAACAAAAATATAATAGAAAAAAATCAAAAATTAAGGTTGGTATTAATATTTAAAAATTAAATTGCTATCTTCATTGTTGCTAACTTCGGGTTTAATGTTTCTTATTCTAACTTTTTTGTCTTTTGAGATAAATGCGTCATGTTTGGACTCATTTTAAAGGTTTTTTAATGAAGATGACAAATATGTCAAAATTGACGTTGACGTTTCAAACCGGAAATGATTGTATCTCCATTAATATCAAAGTTAAATATGTCGAGTTTGGACTCATTTTAAAGGATTTTTTATGAAGTTGACAAATATGTTAAAATTAATAGTTAAAAGTTCAAACTTTTTTTTTTTTGAGAGAAATGAGTCATGTTTGGACTTACTTTAAAGGTTATTTTATGAAGATTACGAATATAATCATAAAATTAAAGTTGACATACTAACCACTTTCATCAAAAAGTAGTTTAACTACCAAGTAGTTAAAATATTTTTAAAATAATAGTAACTAGTTTCTAGTTAGCAGTTAATAACTGTTTGAATTACACATAAATTATACATAAGTCTGACTCTTTTGGTACAAAAACCCAACACTGCAACTTATAAAGTAGGTATTAAGATTATTTAAAAATTTTAAGTTATTTAAAACATATAAAATATAATAAACAAGTAAACGTAGAATCTTGTAACTTTGAAAGCCACTTTTAATTTAAGTTTGCTTTTAAAAAACCAATTGCTCAAAAAGATTATCACCGCAAAATTGTACATTCTTGAAAAAGTCTTTTTTTAATTTTCATCTTTGAAATCAAAAAAATTATTTCCAGGTTGTACGTACATCAGTTAAAATTAGGTTATCATCACTTCCTTCCAGAACATCATCATCAAACAAACCACAACATTTGCTTATAATTACTTTTAAGATCAATTCTTTGTTTACTGTATGATCAATTTCCTGGTAAACATTCAGCCACCTCAACTTTCAACTATTAATTTTAACATATTTGTGAATTTCATAAAAAATCCTTTAAAATGAGTCCAAACTTGACATATTTAGCTTTAATATTAATGGAGATACAATCACTTCCGGTTTGAAACGTCAACGTCAATTTTGACATATTTGTCATCTTCATTAAAAAACCTTTAAAATGAGTCCAAAGATGACTCACTTATCTCAAAAAACAAAAAAGTTAGAATAGAAAACATTAAACCCGAAGTTAGCAACAATGAAGATAGCAATTAAATTTTTAAATATCAATACCAACCTTAATTTTTTATTTTTTTATTATATTTTTATGACAAATATTAAGACATTTTATAAAAATTAAGAATATGTCAAAATGACATTGACATTTCAAACCGGAAGTTGCTTATATCTCGAGTAATATTGAAATTAAACGTATCGTGTTTGGACTCATTTTAAAGGATTTTTCACAACGATTACAAATATGTCAAAATTGACGTTGACATTCTTAACCGGAAGTTGACCATAACTTCATTAATATTGAAGATAAATATGTCGTGTTTGTACTCATTTTAAAGGATTTTTAATGAAGATTACAAATATGTCAAAATTGAGGTTGACATTTTAAACCTGAAGTTAGTTATTATATAGTAGACAAAAAGACAACTTCATGGTGTTCTTTCGTAATGTATTCTTTATTAAAAATCCTTTAAAATAAGTTCAAACAAGACGCAGTTATTTTAAAAAACAAAAAAGTTAGAATAAAAAACATTAAACCTGAAGTTAGCAACAGTGAAGATAGCAATTTAATTTTTAAATATTAATACCAACCTTAATTTTTGATTTTTTATTATATTTTTGTGACAAATATTAAGACATTTTATAAAAATTAAGAATATGTCAAAATGACATTGACATTTCAAACCGGAAGTTGCTTATATCTCGAGTAATATTGGAATTAAACGTATCATGTTTGGACTCATTTTAAAGGATTTTTCACGACGATTACAAATATGTCAAAATTGACGTTGACATTCTTAACCGGAAGTTGACCATAACTTCATTAATATTGAAGATAAATATGTCGTGTTTGTACTCATTTTAAAGGATTTTTAATGAAGATTACAAATATGTCAAAATTGAGGTTGACATTTTAAACCTGAAGTTAGTTATCATATAATAGACAAATGGACAACTTCATGGTGTTCTTTCATGATGTATTCTTTATTAAAAAACCTTTAAAATGAGTCCAAATAAGACGCACTTATCTCAAAAAACAAAAAAGTTAGAATAAAAAACATTAAACCTGAAGTTAGCAACAATGAAGATAGCAATTTAATTTTTAAATATTAATACCAACCTTAATTTTTGATTTTTTTTATTATATTCTTGTTTTTGACAAATATTAAGACATTTTATAAAAATTAAGAATATGTCAATAATGACGTTGACATTTCAAACCGGAAGTTGCTTATATCTCGAGTAATATTGAAATTAAACGTATCATGTTTGGACTCATTTTAAAGGATTTTTAACAAAGATTACAAATATGTCAAAATTGAGGTTGACTTTTTAAACCTGAGGAATCATCACTTTGATTCTAGTATTTTTGATTAAATTTATGAAACGACTTACTTAGAAACACCCTGTATAATCATAAAATGTACAAAATGTTAACAGAAAAAGCTCAATGACTAAATTAAAATGATTTAAAATGAAAAGAAAAGGTAATTTTGAGATATTTGCAGATTTTTTCATCAAATAATTATCAAGACATCGATCCAAAACAAGGGTAGAGTTAAGAGAAATAACTTTTCCACTACTTCATAGATGTCGCTAGTTATAACATTTCGAGATATTTGAAAATATCGATTTAAAACAATTTCTGCCACCATCAATCAGGAAAATCTTGACTCAGCCCCCCCATGGTGCTACTTTATATTGGGCGGGGAGTTTGTTTCTATCGCAAAACGAGCGTGAAGGGCTCTAAACGCAAAGGGTATAGTTTAGAAACTAGATCTTGCGTGCTAATCGAGCGTGGTGTTCGTTGTAGCACCGCTGCGTGATAAACATGACCAGAAATTGGGTTGCGTGCTGTATTCTGCTCAATAATCACAACTTTAAATTGTAAAACCGTTTCAATTTCAAACCGAGTATTTCCAATGAATTACAAATTACAGAGATTAATTATTCTTGTTATTTTATACTAAAGGTAATAAATCAGAGTACGTAATCTTGGAAAATGGTTTAAAGTTTAAAGCGATGTCTAACCCCGGAAATATTTACAACCTAACCAAGTAAGTTATGGATACGCTCAAATTTTAGTCGAAACAAAGTTATTCGATGGAAAGTTTTAGGATAGAGAGGAGAATGTGTCTCACCTTTAGTAAGTCGAGCAAATCGCTTAAGCATTCCACCAGATGTCGTTCGTAATTGAAATTCGGAATACGTTAAAACGGACAATGGACCTAATGGCTTCTCGTCCGCATAATGCGGATGGAAAACCGCGAGTAATCTATAATTCAAGTCGTGCTAAAGGATTCTAGTACCTTTCGAAAACACGACTCAATTATTTCGCATCTCGTAGAAATGACTTTGGAATTTATTTTATTATAATTAATTTGATATCATCCCCTAGCTAGGCATAAAAACGTGCGCGTAGCAGCATACAGTGGACGTTGCGACGCTCTTCCAGTAGCGTCGCGGCGCCCAAACGAATAAGACGCTTCAAAATCGAACTCGGGGTTGTGCAAAAAGAAGAGTACGCAAGAAATCATTTTTTGTTTAAAAAAAAAACAACGATAAATAAACACATCAAATCGTTTCGATTCGATTTTGATGCTATTTTCTTAAGAAAAAGAGGGTGAGTTAAATTAAATTATTATTTATACCATTTCAAATTTAATCCACCAAAACAAAGCGATTTTTATTCATATAAATAATTCGAAATTCACCTTATTAATAAATTTTATTATTTATGCGGGAATAAACATTTAGAAACAATTTAAAAAAGATTTTTTAACCCTTAATTTCCGACACGCACACTTGCAATTTATTGAATAACGTATCATTACCACCATATGTTATGTTAGCAACTTTACTAAACGATCACACCCCGATTCATTTTTCATGGCTAAAGTAGAAAATTGTTACAAGACAATTTTTATTCATAATTTAATTGATCGGAATTAAATCGAATTATGTTCTTTTTGGATTTTTTTGTCCAAGTTTTCGTTTAATTAATAAATTTGAAAAGATAAAGCTGTTCCAAAAAATGTATAACGGGCTAAATTTGCATTTAAATGTCCTCCCCTAAGTTGGGAAACTGTCTTTCAGGGAAAATATCGATTTGACATTATATTCGACGGTCAAGGCCGAGCCGAGGCGGTTGTCTGCTAGATTTTAACAGATTATTATTAGTTTTATTATCAATAAATTGTTTATTTCGATTAAATTAATCAATTTTAATCTATATAATTTAAAGGAAAACGTTTTATTTTAGTCACTAAATGATAAATCTAACCAATACTGTATAACGCTTCCTTTTTATGTTAACTCACTGATTTAGTATAGCTTGACACTTCCTAACAGCTGAGCCACTCTCTTTACCCTTCTCAATGTGTTAAAACTTCTTTTATCGGAACACGTCGTTGGTGGAAAAGTTATAGAAGCAATGATAGCCTTTTGAAAGCTTTCAATCTCCTTTAACGCATCGGAAAGTATATACAGGGTGAGTTATTAGTATCTCGGCGGTCGATAATTACTAAATCATTTGAGATATAAATAAATCTATCGTCTGAAGACACGCGGCTAAACTAGTGTTAGTTCTAGTTTTAGTTCAATAAAAATATAGAATAACTTTGCGTTATCTGGTTTAACTAACACCGTCACTAGACTCTCCTCTCTCTTAAGACGGCTATTTCTAGTTCTAATATTAGTTCAAGTTTTAATTAATAAAAATATTTAACAATCTAGCGCTGAATAGTAGTTAAAACTAGAACTAACACTAGACCTAGAACTAGAAAGTTTCGGGTTTAGCCGTGCGTCTTCAGAAACTTCAAACTTTCTAGTTCTAGGTCTAGTGTTAGTTCTAGTTTTACACTAGCACTGTTACTATGTAGAATTAACACTATACCTAGAACTAGAATCATTTGGATTTAGCCGCACGTCTCTTAAGACGGCTAAACCCAAATGATTCTAATTCTAGGTACAGTGTTGGTTCTAGTTTTACACTTGCACTGTCACTAGAACTAACATTAGACCTAGAACTAGAAACATTTGGGTTTTGCCGTACGTCTCGTAAGACGGCTAAACCCGAATGATTCTAGTTTTTGGTCTAGCGCTGCATAACAATTCAAACTAGAACTAACACTAGATCCAGAACTAGAAAGTTTTGCACGGCTTAACCCAAATATTTCTAAGTCTAGTGTTTTTACACTTGCACTGTGCCATGTAAAACTAACACTATATCTAGAACTAGAATCATTCGTGTTTAGCTGTACGTCTCTTAAGACGGCTTCATTTATACAAGATGTTGCATTTAATTTTTTGAAATGGAATGCTCTGTGTATTTTATCATATTTGTTCAAAAAATCAGAGAACATTAGATTTTTGGGATATCAACTTGGGATTCAGAACATGCTTAATAGTGAGTTTACACATGCATGGATTTAGTGGCGCCAATAAAAACTGGCGCGCCAGTAAAATTAAATTGCATGTGTAAACATCAACTGGCATGCAAGTTGAAACCATGCATGCATGGATCGGAAAAGTCTGCACCCTTCTGAAATTACTGGCGCCAGTGATGAGTCTAAAACATGTAACCATGGCAACATAGGTGAGTGTCCACAAAAATACAAAATTTTTTAATGTCAAATTTAAGTTATGTTTCATTGCATTAAAATTAAATCCCAATTACGTTAACCTAGCGTGTCACTTATTTTTTACATGTGCCACGCCAGTGGTACATGTAATGTAAACCTTTATTGGCGTGCAAGTAGAACTGGCGCAACTACTGGCGCCACTAAATCCATGCATGTCTAAACTCACCTTAAGTAACATGATGGAGTATGTTTTGGTGCCGAAAACGGCTGTCTAGAACGTTTAATCATTTTACTATGGCACGTTAACTTTTCGAAATTTGGAAGTACTACTTCATTTTTTTAAATGGCACCCCCCATATTTTATTACTTACAGTTAGTCGTAACATTAATAATTTGGGAGATAAATAGGGTTTTTTGAAAAATGCACACGTATCGATATTTAACCTAGTGTCAAACGTCAAAGGCTGAGTTACTAAAAATAATACTTAAATCTAAATTATCAAATTTTTATTTTGGCCAGAACCCCAGAAACGTCTAATTAACGGTCTCGTTGAGACACCCTGTATGTTGCTAACTCACGGCATTAACACTTCCTGAGATATTCAATTTTTAAAAACGATGTAAATGACATTTTTGCCTTTAAACTATGTCAGATAATAGTCAAAGTCTACAGAAATATGACAGTATCCAAAGATATTAGATACAGTATACGGCATGTTTATAGAATATTATAAAATATTAATCAAACAAAATAAAAATAAACTAACAATAATTGACAGAATGTAATATTAAGGCCCACTTTTACCACCTCTTGATAAATTTATCCGATAGATAATTACCATGGTTACAGCGGTTTTAAGCGCTCTCATTGGTTAAGGCCCACTTTTACCACCTCTTGATAAATTTAACCGATAGATAAATTGGCGTTCTTAGCCAATGAGAGCGCTTAAAACCGCTGTAACCATGGTAATTATCTATCGGTTAAATTTATCAAGAGGTGGTAAAAGTGGGCCTAAGAGCTCCAATTTATCTATCGGTTAAATTTATCAAGAGGTGGTAAAAGTGGGCCTAAGTACAATAACGGCATATTTTATTACACATGTTTCTTTAAACTGTAAATATCACAAAAACTACTAAAGTTAGATATGGATGGCCAATTCAACCAGAACGTAATATATAGGGTATTCCATTTAAAAAACTTATAGAAAAGTCATTTGAAAAACATCAAAATGTACAAGATTTTATGAACACGCTGTAGGGTAAAACGCCAGTAATTGACCGTTGGTCAGTGTTTGACCGTTTTTGTAAAAAAATATAAAAAATAAGGATCCAAGGAATATCTAAAAAAATATAAATATATCCATAAACAGCCACCAGTCTCCTCTCCACCCCCTAGTACACAAAAAGTCCACGGCCATACCGTTCTTGAGTTTTTGTTGTTTAATTTCGCGCTAACTGCCGGCCTATTCACATCGTGTTAAAAAGCGTAATTTTTATGTTTAGAAATTCGCCCAAACGGGGTAGTACTATTCAGCCGTTTTTACATGTATGATGTTTTTTTTTGTTTGTCAGTGATCTAATAATGTTTTCTATTGATTATATTAAAAAAATACCGCTTTAATTAATTATTTGTTGAAATAAAGCCGGTCAATGACTGGTAGTTCTAAATTTTATTAAAAATTAGTGTTTGACCAAACGGTCAAATACTAGACGAATTGCTTGTTTTATAATCTCACAAGGATTTATATTTGATTAATAAAATGGAAAAATGTGTAATACCTGTTTTTAAAACTTATATCTTCCCGTTTAAGTTGTTTAGTATTTGACCAAAACTTTTATACTTTAAAAGTGAGATACAATCAGTTTAAATATGCGGTCAATTACTGGTTCCTCTTTTGGTCATTTATAGGACACAAACACTCAAAACTGAGTTTTTTAACCGATTTTAAATTTTATAAATATTTAAGCGTAATATAAATATAAGTGTAAATGTTTGATTCTTTTCTATTTTTTTAAACCTTTTTTATAACAATAAAAGTAATTGACCGCACTTAAGCAGTAATGAGTCTGTAAAATTAAAAGGATAAAAGGTTGGTCAAACGCTGACTCTTATAGTGGTCAATTATCAAAAAATGGAAAATCTATATGGAAAATTTAGCAAATATGAATCAGGTTAACATTTCTTCAGTACCAATATGACAACGAAGCCTAAGATTAAAAATAGTGAAGAAGATCTTCAAAAGACTCTCGATGTAAGAAGTAGGGGTTTATCTTATGAAAAAGCAGCCAAGATGTTTAACGTTCCAAAGTAAAATCTTATTTATAAAGAAAAAGGAAAAACACCAGTGCAGAGGAAAATGGGCCCACCAGCATTTTTAAATTCTGATGAAGAAAAACTGCTGGTTGAATGGTTGTTTCATTTAGCAGATAGGGGTTTTCCTGTTTCAAAAACCAAGTTGGAAAACACAAAATTTGGGTGAAAAGTTAAGTCAAGAGCATTTTGCTCCTGTTTTAAAAGATGTTCTTAAAGAGTCAAAAAATATAAACATTTTTTTGTGAACAAAATAGTATGAAAAAATAATGAAAATGAATATTATATTAAGAATCGGTCAAACATTGACGGTTTTAAGGTCAAAGACTAGATATTATTGGTCAAGTAATGTAATCAAAGTGGTCAAACACTAAATGCGAAATACTGTTTTCCTTTTTAATTTTAAAAAAATATTACTTCATGATGTTATATTTTATATGTAGGGTAAGTAACTTTAAATGAATCAGATGTGTATTTGATCATATTTTGATCATTTTATGTAAAGGCAGAGGGATCTACAAGAAAAATAATATGGCTCGGTCAAACACTGACATTAAAAAATCCTTAACAGGTCAAACACTGGTGCGTTTACCCTATAGTGTACCTAATTTCTTTGGATACTATCAACTACCTTCTGGCTTTGACTCTTATCTCTCATAGTTTAAAGGTAAAATTGGCAAAAATATAATTGGCAGTTACGTGAGACATCCAGTATACTTTATGATGCAT